ACCTTCTGTGATGAGAGCTTGTCCTTGATTTTCAGGCTTCTTTCTCATCTTCTCATTGAGTAAAAGAGCCGATGTGACATCTTTCAACTCAATAGTAGTCTTACCGTGCAGGATGGTTGTTGCCAAATTATCGTACGAAGATGGCAACGAGTTCAATAGCAAGATGGTTTTATCTTCTTCCTCGATTTTCACTCCGAAGTTGGCAAGTTGTGTGATTAGTCCGTTAAAGCCATTTAAATGTGACAAAAATTGCGTACCTTCACCCATGTGTAGGGCGTATAACTGCTTCTTCAGGTACAATTTATTTGTCAGCGTTTTGGACATGTATAGGCCTTCCAACCTTGTCCAAATTCCATGTGCAGTGTCTTCATCAATGATGTTATTTACCACATCATCTGATAAGTGCAACATGATTGCACTAGCAGCTCTTTCATCTAAGTCAGCCAAATCCTCAGCTTTCATGGTATCAGGCTTTTTGGCATCAGCATCTAGTACCTTGTGTAATCCTTGTTGGATGAGCAGATCCCTCATCCTTCGTTGCCATGTTGAGAAACTGTTATCTCCGTTGAATTTTGCTACCTCGTACTTTACTCCGAACATTTTTATTTTTCACCGAGTATAGTACTACCGATAGTGAATAGTATTTCAGTGAACAAGTAGAACCTGTGCTTTGATACCAGTTGTTGGGAATAAAACCCCTACAAAAATAATATTCACGATAATAAAAGCGGAATAATAACGTAGCACCGAGATACGGTAATTAACAAGAATAAAATAGTAACAACGACACCAAGATTTTTACGTGGAAAACCTTTTTGAATAAGGGAAAAAACCATTGTCCTGAGAAGAGCAACTGATATCACTATAGCAAGGAATTTTATACTTTGTAGGTCCGAGTAAAATACTCAAAAGACCACTACAACACTCAAAAGAAATAACTCTCTTTTGATATTCTCACCTCACTACAGTATCATTCACTCTTTATGTTTCTCACAGACTATTTTCTTATACCCTGTCTGTGAAATCTCACTCTTTCTTTCTAACTCTCAGATATATTTTTCCTCTGAGATTGGTGTGTCAAAAATGAGAGGCGAAGCTCTCCTTTTATAGGCAGAACCTCGCCTACTACACTTGATATTTTCTTTCTGCACGCCTACCACATTTGACACAACCTACAATGTTGACTATGCAAAAGGAAAAATGGCTGCCAATTTAGAAAAAGAAGACAAAGGAAGAAAGTTGTCTTCCTTAATTTATGGGCTGGACCCCACACCTATGTCAGAAAAAAGACAAATTGTGGGTAGTTTGGGTGCATACATACTATGGTAAAGGGCAGCAAGTGTGGGACATAGAAGGGAAACAAGCATCTTGGATAGTCAAAAAGGTGTTGAAAGCTAAACTTTATTTAGAACGTGCTGGAATAAATCAAATGAGCTAGAAAGGATGAGGTCTTTCTCTATCAAAGTTATATACCAGAAGATGAGGGGAGTCCATCAAAAAGTTCCATGGAGAAAGTTGATTTGTAATAACTATGGTGCACCAAGATGGATTTTTATACTTAACCTGGCAGCTCACAGGAGGCTAAGCACAAGGGACAGGCTGGCTAGCTGGGGTGTGACTGATATACTGTTGTGTTCTTTGTGTAATGTTGCTAATGAGACTATTGACCATTTATTTTTCAGCTGTGTGTACTCAAGTGGAATATGGAACAGATTATTACAATGGCAAGGTTTGACAAGAAAGGCTATGAACTGGCAGCATGAAATGGCATGGATGGAAGTAAATGAGAGGGGTAGGAGCGCTATAGCAGAGGTATTCAGAAATGGCGATAGCTGGATGTGTATATCATATATGGCAAGAGCGAAACATGAGGATATTTCAGAATAAGCAAAGGCAAGAGGAGCAAGTTATCAGACAAATTGTTCAAGAGATATTCTGCAGAGATTCTATGTGGGCTCGATTGGCTAAAAAACCAGAAAGCTTAAATTTAACACTTAGTTAGCCTAGTAAATGCTTATGATGTTGTTGTTTAGGGGGTGCAGTAGTGCTAGAGATGATGCCCAGCTTTAGTGCGGTTTTTTTTGTTTTGTTTTGAGCTGTACAAAGATTACTTGGTAATTAATAAAAAATTATTTACCAAAAAATTAAGTTACAATGCATAACAACATCTCTTCTTCAAACAACTTCCAATTAAGGCAGTTTTTAATATTAAAGTGGCACAGTATTTTTAAATCAAGCCTTTAACAAACTTTGTATACAGAAATAATAATGATGGAAAACACACAAAAAGAAATACAAAGATAAAATGATACAAGTATCAAGAGCAAATAAAAACCCCTAAATGATTTCTTTCCATTTGACAAAGCGTTGGTAAAAAACGTTGCCTAGTATCAATAGGTAGTTGGTACATGGCAGAATCAAGTCACGTGCAAGTTGACCGGGAGACCACCGTTATAAAAAAAAAATTATTTAGGCATGGAAACAAAGATGAAGTATTGGCAAGTGAATTTCTGCATAGAAGCAAATATGATTTACTAAGAGGCAATTACAAGCTGATTGCAATAACTTATGGCGAAAAGAGTTATCTTTGTGCACGTGGGAATGAGCTTGTGTGAGAATGTCGGAACATGATTATAAACTACAAAACTATTAATTGCCTCAAATGAAATATAAACTTCCATTATATGAAAAATAAAATTCAATGAAAGTTTGTCTTTGAGTTCCTTACAAATATTATTCACGCACATCTATTTAATATAAGATGTTGGTTTAATATTTCTTTGCTCCTAGATGTGTAGATTATATTGACCTTTCCAAACCTACAAATGAACCATTGATTTGAGAACTAAACCAACTCAGACTTTTATTTTTTGAGCATGCATGTCATTTCGTGAGGAACTTTGGTGCATTGCTAGTTGATTTGAAGCATTGGGTGTCCGTCATAGAATTGAAGAATTTTTTACACGTTTGCTTTCAAGTGAGTGTTAATTTTTGTGATGACTCAAAAGGTCATCTTTCATTTTAGAATTCGATTCTGTATTTCGAGTCCTTAAAATTTTCATTTCATTTTCCTCGATTTGCGTGCACAATCCGGACGTGTTTCCAGAAAGCCTTTATATGAAATTTAAGAAAAATATTGAATTTTACCTTTAAAATTGATTAAAGTTGACTTCGGTCAATATTTTTGGCAAACGGATCCGGACCCGTGATTTGACGGTCCCGTAGGGTCCATAGTAAAATATGGGACTTGGGCGTATGCCCGAAATCGAATTCCGAGGTCCCTAGCCCAAGAAATGAATTTGTGAAGAAAATTATTTGCCGGAAAATATAAGAATTTTTAGAAAGGGAATAGTGTGTGATCTCGTTGGTATCGGGCCCGTATTTTGGTTCCGGAGTTCGGTACAGGTTTGATATAGTATTTAAGTCGTGTCTGTGAAATTTGGTGAGAAGCGGGACTGATTTGACGTAATTCAGACATCCGATTGTGAAAATAGAAATTTCAATGTTCTTAAGGATTTCATGAGTTTTGGGGTTAAATTCGTTGTTTAAGATGTTATTTTGGCGATTTGATCGCACGAGCAAATCCGTATGATATTTTTAGACTTGTGTGCATGTTTAGTTTGGAGGCCCAAGGGCTCGGGTGAGTTTTGGATAGGCCACAGAGTGTTTTGGACTTAGGAAAATATTGCCGGTATGGTCCAGCTGTTGCAGGCATTTGATCTCGCAATTGCGAGATCAGGCATCGCAATTGCGAGCCCTACAGGATCGACATTTGCGAACCTTTCGTCGCAAATGTGATTAAAAGGCTGGCCAGCATAGTTCGCAAATGCGTAGGGAGTTTGGGAGGGGAACTGATCGCAATTGCGATCATTTGTCCGCAATTGCGAGGTCTGTGATCACAAATGCGACACTTTCCTCGCATTTGCGAAGGCAGCAGGAATTGTGAAATTTCGAAGCCCTTTCGCAATTGCGAGCTTCGCATTTGCGAAGCTCAGGTCGCAAAATGCGATATCTACAGCTGAGTAAAAGGGTCTTGGACAGGATTTTTCATTCATCCTTCAAATTTTCAAAACCTAAACTCCAAGAGACAATTTTCCTAGAGCAAGTTCTTCCCCAAATTATAGGTAAATGATTCTAAACTTGTTTCTTCCAATCTATTTCATGTACTTGAAACTTAGAGGAGAGTTTAGTAAGGTACCATGGAGAAGGATGATATGCAATAATGCTGGGCTACCTAAGTGGATATTCACTATATTCCTGGGGCGCACAGAAGACTACTAACAAGAGACAGATGAAGGAGATGGGGCTACATGGAAGATACAACCTGCTCACTATGAAACACAAAGGAAGAAACTATCGATCATCTATTCTTTAAATGCTCATTCTCGACACAAGTATGGGCAGCAATGCTAGACTGGCAGGGGATTCATAGGTAAGTGATGGCTTGGGATCATGAATTGGAGTAGGTTGAACAACACTGTAAAAGAAGAAGCTCCAAAGCTAAAATCTACAGGATGACACTAGCTGGCAGCATATACTATATATGGCAAGAGAGGAATGCACGAATTTTTCAAGCAAAATAGAGAAATGTTGCAACAATCACTCGACTGTTAACACAAGAAATACATTGTCGAGGGAACTTGAAGATACGATTGAAGGGAAGGCTACTAGAGTTAAACTACTATCCTATAGCTGAATCTAGGACTATTGTCCAGATCAGGCTATAGAGAGGACCAACATGTAAATATTCCTTGGTAAATAAAATTATTTAGTTACCAAAAAAAAATTAGGTGACATAAAATGTCTTTTGTGACAAAAGTCCCCACTAAAAGTCGACACATTAAGACACATATCCCTCCCCTATCTTGGAATACCTTTTACTACATTATTCAAGTTAACTGTAATTACACTTTAAGTGATTTGTGTAAAAACTGTTTCACACTGGGAGTGTATCGAAATTAAACTCTTCCCTAATATATAAGTTAGCAACGATTCACAAATGAAAAAGTTAAGAAAAGCTATTTTAAAGCTCCTATTACATTCCAACATGGTCGAATTTTGCAAATTAGAGTAGCCACCACCCCTATTAGCACAATAGTATGAAGTACAGACAATCTGGGCATACAAAATGCAGAGAAACGACGACAAAGCATACTAATATACTACCTACAAGCTCTTCATTTGAGCTAAAGTGGAGAAGGGAGCCCAGGGGGGTGGAAGAGGGAGTTAGGAAAAGTTAAACCAGCATCTTTTTAACAGAACAAGCTGTGGTAAGTTACGCTGCTGCAGGCTCATTTAACGTACGACACAGTAAGACTGCTAGAAAGGATTTACAACATAGTCGCATTACCAGACACAACGATATGTAACATGTGTCTCGATGATTTCACTGCTGTATGTGACCTTCACCACCTGCCCCTTCTCAAGTCCATAGTACCGAGCAATTGCATCCTTCTGAGACATCCTCGGCAGCTGGAAAACATCAACACGAGTACATTACTCAGCAACAGTTAGATAAACGAAACTACATTGATAATGGTCGAAGGTAAGAGTGGTAGATTGAAGTGCATATGTACTACGAATATCTGATTGAGATCATTAAAGAGAATGCACAGCAACAATACCATTGTTCTGCATACGTTGAAGGCAAAAACCTGTCTGTACACCTAAGGTCCTAGATATTAACATCTGATGATAGGTACTGCGGTTTCAATTGAGAGACGAGGCAAGCACCGTCTCCCGCATATAGAAAAAGGCAACAGTCTATAAATACCTAAATTAAAAGCTTTAGAACAGTATTTGAGTCATTATCCCTCACAGTAAAGGGATAATGACGAACATACAGTTTTTTTTTAGAAAAATGCAGAGAAGTCACTAACACTGCTCTTCTACATTAAACTAACAATCTTCTTATAAAAAGATAAGTATTAGAAGGCACCTATCAAGAAAGTAAGTATTAGAAATCTTCTGGTATTAACCTCCTTTACGACATTACTGTATGCAAAAGAATTCTAGGTCTTGGCTCAAAGTGCCATAGTATCTGGGATCCTGCCTAAAATAACAGCTGAAAGAAACACAACATTCTTAACAATATATTGATGACTTCATCAAAGCATAAAAATTTCCAAAATGAAACTAGATTAAACTCTTTAAGCAGTAACATATGTGTTAGTATAGCCACAACTTCACCTAAGGATTAATAAGTAACATGTCTTAATAATCGTAATCACTTGTGGGACCACACTGGGTTGTTGTTGTTGTTGTCATCTTAATAGTCTTAATGTTGAAGCCTTAAAGGAAAATAGTCCTCTGCTTTTGATTTAATAAAAAAAATTCTGTTAATTGGTTGTACCTCCACAACCTCCCCCTTTCCTAATTCTAAAAGAAAAGGGAGACGAGGAACCCTGAACTAAAATAAAAAATTCTTCAGATGGAACATATGTGTATATATACATACACACCACACATGCTATTGTTGTAGTTGTTATTTTGGTGGTAGTGTGTGTATGTGTGAGTGCGCATGGAGGATTCATAGAAGCGACAGTCTAGTTTGTGGGTGAGGACTGAGGAATAGCTGATTGATTGATCGAATAACAGACAAATTACTGCCTGAGTATGTCTTAGCTTCTCTCAGCAAGATAGTTTTGCAGTGTAAATGTTTTTCGCAACACAGATTGGACAGTCCAAATTCTAGTAGATTTCTTTTTTAGAAAGGTAAAAGTTTATTAAAAGGGTGCCAAGATGGTACAAAAAGATACAACAACAACAATAACCACCTAGTAAAATCCCACTAGTGAGGTCTGAGGAGGATAGAGGCAGACCTTACCCCTACCCCGGAGGGTAGAGAGGCTGTTTCCGAAAGACCCTTGGCTCAAGAAAATGAAAAGAGACAATAGGTCCATAACAACAACGGAAACCAAAAAAATAATATCAGCATCGTAAGAGACAGCAAATAGATGGAAAAGCAAGAGCATAGTACTATCAAAAGAGGAAAAATAGTGTGAACACAACATAAGCTGCAAGCAGTCCTAGACAAAACACTATCAGACCAACTGATACAAAGTAGAAAAACGCTCGACTACCCTCTAACCTTCAACCCTAATGCTCGACCTCCACACCTTCCAATCAAGAACCATGTCCTCGGAAATCTGAAGCTGCGCCATGTCCTGCCTGATCACCTCGCCCCAATCCTTCTTAGGCCGCCGTCTATCTTTTCTCATACCTGCCAAAGTCAACTGCTCACACCTCTTAACCGGGGCATCTGAGCTTCTCCTCCGCACGCGCTAGATGGTACAAAAAGATACAAGATACAAAAAACATCCCAAACAACATCATCCACCTTCTATCTCTATCCCTCCTAGCAAGTCCGAGGATTTAATATACTGATCCAGATTTCTTAATGGGCTGCATTTACACCAATAATACAGATTATGAATATATTTATTCTTAATTCTAATAATGTGATTTCTATGCCCTTCGAAACAAGCTGTGTTCCTCTCCAACCATAATGTCCATAGGATGCACAGTGGAACGATTCTACAGATCTGCTTTAGTCTCCTAGGTACTTTCCATGGGCAATAAAGTTCCTTCTACCTCACTGTGGCTCTGGAAGTACTTAGGCTAGCAGACAAGGGATAAATAAAGAGAACAAGGGCGAGATGAACAGATTTCTATAAATACTGATAGAATTGTTTTGACACTGTTTTGAGTTATTAAGCTTGACCAACTTTTATCTATTGTAGCTATACCCTCGAAGATAACCAAAACCACCAGCTGCAGTACCCTAGTTTATACATAAAGCAACATGAACAGACATGTGGGAACATGCTAATCACCTCTTTGATTTTCCACTAAGTTAAAATTGACTGGACTTCTCTTTCATGGTAGTGGTGCCCGGACAAGCTTGCATGCACTTCGAATAATCGACCTGCTGGCTTGTTACAGTCAACTTGTACTAGTGCCGTATAAACCCCCCACCAGTACTGAAGAAAATGGGCTCACACTTAGAATTGTAGTTAAGCCTGGAATCTCCAGGTTGTTACTTCTATTTATTTCAACCACTCAACCATCCCGTTGCGAGCAAAAAAAACTGACTTTTATTGACTGTGAAGCCTAGATGCCAATAATTACTCCGACGACGTCAAGGTGATATTGATCCTACCAGATTATGGGTTATAAAATGTATGAGAACATGATATTTGCCTTTAGGAAATTTAACAGCAAGTCCTTGTTCGAGTAAAGCTACAGGAAAAAACATGATAGGATCTTTTATCTGGCTAAATTCAACAGAGGAAGCTACGAATCAAGCTTCAGTTAAATAGATACACTAAGTAGATGCACAGTTATACCAATATACAGGCATGTTTCTGCAAATTCAAAGGCAGTCAAGGGCGAACCTGTTTCTCTTCCAGGTTGTACTTCTTTAACAGCTTCTCTTTCTCTTCATTGTTCAACAACTCATGCTTTGGCTTTAAAACATGTTTTGTGATATTGACAAGCAAGTCTGTGATCTGAAAGAGTTTGCAAAAAAGAGCCAAACAGCTTAGCATATTGCTGAAACATAAGTTAATTGCTTGCATAAAATTCACTTTTTGTCCTGAACTAAAGCATTTTTAGTCCTTTGACCAAATAAGAGCTATGNGTTGATTAAATAACCAATGATAAAAATCATTATTCATTGTGAGATATAACCTCATTTGTCAAGCATATCTAAAGCAAATGCAGAACGAATCTTAATTAACAAACTAGTAAATACCCCATTTTATTCCACACAATAGAACTGTTCATACCAAAAACAGCAATAAGAAACACATACTTTACCTGGAAAATTTCAACTTTAAATGGGAGGAGTTCCACAGCTTTCATAGCTGGAGCGGTCATTGGTTTCTGAATGATTAATAGCAGCCTACTCAAAGATTCCTTGTTCATGATTTGAGTTAAAATGCTGCGAATGACATTTACTTTCACGGCATTTGGCCCACAAAAGATTACCAAAACCTGCAACCAGTTCAAATATGTAAGAAGTTAATAAATCTATGAAGTATATGCATGTAAAGTTCATAGTCCCTTCATCAGATACCATCTTCCAAAATGCTGAGGCATCTACCCAGTTAGGATACTACCATTTGTTACCAACAACAATTTTCTTGGCTTCCCAAATTTTGATGATTTGAGTTTCCATATGTTTTATCGAACTCAGCCGAGCCTCAAAATTTCCATAAGAAGACTTATGCATGCATAGAACACATTCTCTTCACATAAAATCCATTAAACTTAACAGAATTGATGTATTTTTAGCAGTAATCAACAAGGTATTTGCAGATATATGAACTGAAAATGAGAAACTTGATTTTGCACATTTTAGAAGTTCATTTCCATACTTGAAAGCCAAAAGTAAAGCATAATTATATACATATATCAGTTTTCACTACATCAAAATTCATACTCAATGAAAGAATTGGCTAAACCAGCTTATAGTGTAATCAGATTTTTCCATAAACACAGTACCCTCAGCTCAGGTATCTAAGGTATCTAAAATTCAAATACCCTGCCCTCTTGAGTTGGTCCAGAGGTTTCTAATAAAAATGCTCGTAAGAAACTGCCACTCAAGCTTTATTTTAGGCTGCTTCTAATTATCACGGAAGTATCGCTTCTGATACATAAACTGACACAATAAAGCAACACAGAGAAAGTAGCTTGTAGTGTTAGATCTAAGGAATCCAAAGGCAAAATATTATGCCGCAATACTACTAGCTAGGCCGACTCAATGCATTATGAAGCATGTAGAAGTTTCTAGTCAAATAATCTTTACATTCCACCTTTGCTATCCAATAATTGACCATTTTATAGAATAGATGTAATCCCTAGATATACACACATATAGACCAGTCATTTCATGAAAGCAGCTCGATATATGAAGTACGACAAAAAGTTTGATAACAAAAAAATTTTGAATTATCGATTCTACCTCCAATCACAGTTTTACTTCCTCATAAAAGGGAACTCCCTCTAACAGAAAAGAGAATGTGATGAAATCTAATATTCAGTGTGGATTTGGACATTGATTCCTCAATTCTTGAAAACAAATTGGCATATTCAGAAACTATATAAAAGTACTATCAATCAAAAATTCTCAGAATAGAATGTTTAGAAAGTCCTAGGGAAAAAAAGGAACTTGTTGACTCCCCCACATAGTAATAATATCCATCTAAAATGGGAGGGGAAGTACAACTTAAAAGCACTTTCTCCCAATATTATCTATTATCATCCACACAACCAACAGAAAGAATATTTACCCAAAAACAAATGCAGCTTGCTTTCAAGTTATTATTAATAACGTTATTATCCTTTTTGATATGGAGGTATTCCGAGCCAGCTTTCTTGAATCTCGACTATTACACTTGGCATCTTCCGCCTCCCACCAGCACAACTACCAGATTACTCAGCATGGTAGGCAGATGGATAAAACTCGTTTTCAGGTTATAAACCAAACATAACAGCCATGCGCCAAGCGAACGAACTCTGGTATTTAAGTGGAAAAGGGATTTCTCGGTCATTAGAAAAAACATAACAAGCTTAATCATTCCCCAAATTTCCCTCACAACCAAAAGAAAAGAACTCAAAGTTCCCTTAAATGAGACAGAACTTTCTTTAAAGAGGCAAAAGACTGAAACTTTAGATTATAAATTTCAACTACAAGAAGCTAAAACAGGTGATTTAGTGTGGCGATATCCCGGGCTAGCTTTTGTGAACCTCGAGTATTACACCAGGAACATGCTACATTTCACTAGCAGAGGTACCGGGTAACTCTGACCGCCAAGGCTTAGGCAGATGGTAAGAAATTACTTTAAAGTTATAAACCTAACATAACAAGCTTAATTATTCCCCTAATTTCACTCACTACCAAAAGAAAAGAATCCAACAGTTCTCCAAAACGAGATAATCTTTCTTTAATGAGACAAAAAAGACTGAAACTTTGGACAATATTTCACTACAAGAAGCTAAAAACAGGTGACTTAGTGAGGCAAAAGACTGAATCTTGAAACAATTTTTTCAGTACAAGAAGGTGAAAAACATGTGATTTAAAAAAGGAGAGAGGAGGGGTTAAGTGAACAAACCTTATTGGAAAGGTCATTCCTATGCATGGAAGAGATTCTGAGGCGCTCAATATCGGGTTTTTGACCAAATTTTTCTCTGAATTCTTCAAGTGTAGACTCAATTTCCGAATTGGGTATTGCAAAACCACGGTCTTTAAGCATTTCGAGCACAGTTCTGCGCGCAAGGAAGTACCTGTGACTCTCAACAGTACCATCATCTACAAAGCTGGTTAAACAGGGACCAAGATTTTCAGCATCCATGTCCATGGCTGCAAACCCATTAAGATCCATTTGGGTTTGATTTTTCTACTCTTCTTTGCCTTTGTAGGCAGGTTATCGGTGGGGTTTATGCAACTGAGCGAGTAGAAGAATTCTGTCTTACTACAGCAGAAGAATAATCTGTATTTTTTTAAAATTAATAACAATTGGGCAGCGAAGTTTCTTTTATTTACTTCTTTACCAACGAGGGATGGGCTATTGGGCCGGGTCCCGGAGGTATTATAGATCGGGTGGTTAAATGTCGATACCTTATTTATTTTAAATAAATATTCTTTTAAAAAATTATAATTCATAGCTACCTTTTGATTTTTATATCCAAATATCTATTTATGATCATCTTCTACCCTTAAGCCATAAAATACGCTTTCTATTATTTTTTTCTCTCATTCTTTCAGATTTGTCTTCACCATCTCTCTTAACGCCAGCTTATCAAATACTAGGATTTTGAGATTTTAGAGAATCTTACCAGTCCCTACCCGAGCATTTAGTTCCTCATGGACTGGGTTCTTGATCAAAGAAGAAGTCCACATGTCAGTCTTCACTGTATTTGAAGACCTTTTAGCCAAAACCAATCTCTCCCCACAAGATACTGGGTTCTTGATCAAAAAAGTCCACATGTCATTCTTCACTGTATTTGAAGACCTTTTAGCCAAAACCAATCTCTCCCCACAAGATATCGATATTTTTCGTTAATTGCAGTGGATTTTTCCCTGCTCCCTCGCTTTCTTCCATAATTGTTAACAAGTTTTCCATGAGAGAACAGTGACGTTTCCATAATTCATCTCCATTGTCTCGCAAAATTTTCAAATTCTACTGTGCTTCCTAGATCTCTTTGGACTAGGTTCTTGATTGAAACGGGAACAGTGATATATGTTGAATATGTCAATATTCCACATCGGTTGGGAAGTAAAATGGGTTGGTACTTCACCCTATAAAAGAAGGCCTAATGTTTAGGATTTAAATACACCTCTCATTTGCCTTCTTATCTTCTTAAGGCATTTGTATCTTCTCTCTTTAGTATTATTTCACTTGTATTTTTGGAGTGGAATAAAATATTGGTTGTGTCCGAGGAAGTAGGCAAAATTAGCCGAACCTCGTAAATTCTAGTGTTCCTTTTATTATTGCTTTATTGTCTTATTTATTATTTGGTGGTTGTCATGATTTTTGGTATAGTAGTTGTGACTCATTCACACTATATATATTTGGCTTCCGCAACAATTGGTATCAGAGCCAAGGTACTGTCTAAGTATGCTCTGTGGTTGCAGCATAGTCTGATCTTCCACATCAGAAAAGATTTATCTTGGTAACTGAGTCAAGGTTCTGTCTGAGTATGCTCTGTGGTTGCAGCTTAGTCTGATCTTCTACATCAGAAAGGAAATAATCTTGATTTGTGTCGTCAGCTATTAAATAATATTTGTGTCAAATATGGGAGACAATAAACAAGAAGAATCTACATCAAGTGTCAACAATACGTCATCATTGGCATCTTCGCTTATGACAAGAATTGTGTCAAATGCGAAATTTGCGGTAGAAATTTTTGACGGGTCCGGACATTTTGGGATGTGGCAAGGCGAGGTTCTAGATGTCCTTTTTCAACAAGGGCTAGATCTTGCCATTGAAGAAACAAGACAAATGTTATTGGAGAAGAAGATTGGAGAATTATCAACCGTGTTGCTTGCGGTACCATTCGATCATACCTTGCTAGAGAGCAAAAATATTCATACACAAAGGAAACTTCTGCAAGTAAATTATGGAACGCACTGGAGGATAAATATTTGAAGAAAAATAGTCAAAATAAATTGTACAAGAAGAAGAGACTGTTTCGCTTCACCTATGTTCCTGGTACCACGATGAATGAACATATCACCAGTTTCAATAAGTTGGTCACAGATTTGCAAAATATTGATGCAACTTTTGATGATAGTGACTTGGCTTTGATGTTGTTGGGGTCACTTCCTGATGAGTACGAGCATCTTGAAACTACTCTACTCCATGAAAATGATGAAATTTCTCTTAGAGAACTTTGTTCGGCTTTGTACAGCTATGAATAAAGAAAGGAAGAAAAACAGAAGGGCGGAGAAGGAGAAGCACTAGTTATGAGGGGTCGTCCTCAAAATCAAACTATGACAAAGAAAGGAAGATCCAAGTCAAGATCTAGACCCAGCAAAGATGAATATGCCTTTTGTCGAGAAAATGGGCACTAGAAGAAAGATTGTCCGAAGTTGAAGAATAAGGCCAAACATAACAATGGAAATGCCATTATGGATTCAAATGCAGGATGGTGATGATTCAGACTTCTCATTAGTTACAACAGAGCCATCAACATCATCAGACATATGGTTGATGGATTCGGCTTGTAGCTATCATATGTGTCCCAACAATGACTGGTTCGTGGATTTTCAAGAAGGAGAATATGGAGTTGTCCACACATCGGATAACAACCCTTTTACCTCATATGGCATTGGTTCAATATGATTAAGGAACCATGATGGAATGATCAAAACATTAACAGATGTTCGATATGTATCGGGTTTGAAAAAAATTCTCATCTTTGTGGGAGCCCTAGAATCAAAAGGGTTCAAAATCATTGTAGAAAATGGAGTGATGAGAGTATGCTCTGGTGCACTAGTGGTAATGAAGGCCAATCGGAAGAACAATAACATGTACTGTTATCGCGGTAGTACAGTTATTGGGACAACGACAGTAACATCCAGTGATGAAAAAGAGGCAGAAGCAACCAGACTATGGTACATGCACTTGGGATATGCTGGAGGAAAATCCTTAAAAACTCTATCAGATCAAGGATTGTTAAAAGGAGTAAAGGCTTGCAACTTGGAGTTTTGTGAGCATTGTGTCAAAGGGAAACAGACAAGGGTTAAATTTGGTACAGCGATCCATAATACTAAAGGCATTTTGGATTATGTACACTCTGATGTTTGGGGTCCTTCCAAAACACCTTCATTGGGTGGGAAGCACTATTTTGTAACCTTTGTTGATGATTTTTCCCGAAGAGTGTGGGTGTATACAATGAAAAGCAAAGATGAAGTGCTGGGAATTTTTCTCAAATGGAAGACGATGGTGGAGAATCAAACAGGCAGGAGGATCAAGTGTATTCGCACAGACAATGGAGGTGAATACAAAAATGATCATTTCAATAAGGTCTGTGAAAATGATGGCATCGTCCGACACTTCACTGTTAGACATACACCACAACAGAATGGAGTGGCAGAACGTATGAACCGGACCTTGCTGGAGAAGGTACGATGTATGTTGTCTAATGCTGTCTTGGGCAAAGAATTTTGAGCTGAGGCAGTTATATATTCATGCCACCTCATTAATCGCTTACCATCTACTGCTATTGATGGCAAAACACCATTTGAAAAATGGTATGGAAAGCCTGCTGTAGATTATGACTCTTTGCACGTGTTTGGCTCAACTGCATATTATCATGTGACAGAGTCAAAATTGGATCCAAGGGCAAAGAAGGCTATTTTATGGGGATTACTTCTGGAGTCAAAGGATATCGCTTATAGTGTCCTATGACAAAGAAAGTAATATTCAGCAGGGATGTTACCTTTAATGAATCTGCTATGGTAAATAAGGTAACAGAAGATACCAAACAAAATGAGGGTGCTTCTAAGCAGGTGGAGTTTGAGGGAAAATTTATTTTTCCTACACAAAAAACAGAAGAGGAAACAAATGAAGATTATCCTCTGGAAGAAGAGCCGTAGAGAAGGAGATTCCAACTCAGGAATCTCAATAATAGTTTGAATCAATTGCAACTAGCAGGCTAAAAAGGACAATAACAAAACTTGTTCGTCTTATAGAGACGGTTGTTTGTGTCGCCTCAATTGTAGTTGATGATGTTCCTACCACTTATAAAGACGCAGTCCAAAGTTCAGAAGA